GAACCGAAAGTATCCATTAATGATTTGAAAAAAATTCGTTCATTCAGTCGTCAACGTAATATGGTATGAATTTGAATAAATAATTAGTATATATAATTGATTATATTTTGCTAGGATGTTTTTGAAACATTAGCACGTTCTATAGCACCATCTATTTATGGTCATGAATATATAAAACGAGCAATTTTATGTATGTTATTAGGTGGTACTGAAAAAGTCCTTGCAAATGGTACACGTCTTCGAGGGTTTGTTTTATTCTATTTTGAAATAATTTAATAAATAATAATTATATTTGTAGTGATATTAATATTTTATTAATTGGAGATCCATCCGTTGCTAAATCTCAATTACTTCGTTATGTTTTACATACTGCTCCACGTGCTATTCCAACTACTGGTCGTGGTTCATCAGGTGTAGGTTTAACAGCTGCAGTTACATCCGATGCAGAAACAGGTGATCGTCGTCTTGAAGCTGGTGCTATGGTTTTAGCTGATCGAGGCATTGTCTGCATTGATGAATTTGATAAAATGTCGGATATTGATCGAACAGCTATTCATGAAGTTATGGAACAAGGTCGAGTAACTATAGCTAAAGCTGGTATACATGCTCAATTAAATGCACGATGTAGTGTACTTGCTGCTGCTAATCCTGTTTATGGACGTGTATGTTTTATATCTTTAGAAAAAATTAGATTTTTTTCTTATTGATTCTTCTATTTTGTAGTATGATCAATATAAAACTCCAATGGAAAATATTGGTTTACAAGATTCACTTTTATCTCGTTTCGATCTTATATTTGTTATTCTTGATAATTGTGATATGGAACACGATAATATTATTGCTGATCATGTTCTTCGTATGCATCGTTATCGACCAGCAAATGAAGCTGATGGTGAAGTTCTTCCATTTGCATCGGAAGTTGATGCATTAACAACTGAAAATGCTAATGATGCTGAGAAAGATATCGAAGATGATATTCAAATTTATGATAAATATGATGCTGTTCTTCATGGTCCTTATTATTCGAAAAAGTAAAGAAAATCATAATTCATTTCTTCTCTTTTTCATTCTTCTAATTACAATATTTTTTAGAACAAAATTTATTAATTTACGATTTATGAAAAAATATATTCATTTTGCTAAAGCACTTAAGCCACAATTAACAAAAGAAGCAGCTGATATTATCGTTGAAGAATATACACGTTTAAGAAATCAAGATTTATCACAATCAGATAATCAAGCACGAGTAAGTGATGAATTTAGTTTTTTTCTTTAGTTTATACATGAAAAATATTCTTATTTTAAGACTCAACCAATTACTGCTCGTGCACTAGAAAGTATGATTCGTTTAGCAACAGCTCATGCTAAATGTCGTATGTCAAAAACTGTTGATCCTGAAGATAGTGAAGTTGCTATTGATCTTGTACAATTTGCTATCTTTAAAAAGGTTTGTAAAATTTTCTATATTGTTTTTTTGATTTATTAGACAAGAAGAAAAAAAATTCTTTTCTTTGCTATTTAGGTCTTAGATAAAAATAAACGTAAAAAAGATTTACAAAAAAAACAAGCAAATGATGATAATGATGATGATGAAGAAATCGAAAATGATAAAGAAAATGATGAAGCTGATATGGATACTGAAACAGTTCCTCCACCATCGACACCTAAACGACGGTATTTTGATTTATTTAATTTGCTATTATTACAATGGTAAGTTTTTGTTATTGTTTTTAGACGTCAATCATCATCAACAGATGTAGTTCCAACTGAAGTTGGTAGTGCTACAAAACGTGCTCGACGTCAAGGACGAAAAGCAGTTGGTCAAGATGATGATACACCTGTAATATCACAAATAAATATTAGTGCTGAACGATTAGATGTTTTTAAAACACATCTATCAACAGTTATTGATCGACAACCATCAGCAACTACTCAAGAAATATTTGATTATATGAAACAACATGATGCAACTTTTACTGAAGATGAAATTCGAATGGCTTTAGCTAAAATGCAAGATGAAAATCAAATAATGTTAGCTGGTGAAATTGTTATTCGCATTTAATCAGATATTCAAATAGATACCTATATATATATATATTTTTTTTTCTCGTCTCTTAAATCTTCTCAAAATAATGTCAGATAGATTATTTTTGTTATCTTTGGAATGTGTTACTTGTACTTTCAACTAAATACAAATTTATTTTTTTTTGTTCGTTCTCATATGTGTTATGTATGTACCTGTGAATCAGATAGAAATCAAACTCTTATTATTATATGAATAAATATATTGAATAACTGTTCATAGGATCTTATTATTATTATTCCTACTAATATATAACAAAAAATTTCTTAGAATGTAACGAGCACAGTCTCAAAATTATAGCGAAACAAGAACTCTTGATGAATGTGAGAGTCAAAAAAAAGAAATGTATGTTCTTTAAATATTTGTTTCATGTATTTGATAGGAAAAAATCATTAGATTTAATCATAGCACATGGCTTTCTTGTTTTAGAGACTCAAGGAGATTATACACATGGCCAAGAAAAGTAAAGAAACTGCAAGTAAAAGCGACAAGTACGTTTTTATTTCTGGTATTTTTTTGTTTACGAAAGAAAAATGCTCTTTTTTCCTCCACATAAAATTTTTCTTATTATTGACATAATCGAAAGATTGTTGTATTATTTAAACTTTTATTCTGCATTCAGATAGAATAAAAGTTCAGGTATAAGAAATAGAAAGATAGATGAGTAAAGAAGTAACATTCTAATAGAAATATTCTACAATGAAAAATAAATTATTTGATCTAGTGATATATTCTTACTTTAGTTTTAGAAATACAAAAGTGTTTATCAAAATTAATATGATCTATTAACTGGAAAAAAACTTATTATTATTTACTATGATCTCATGTAAGCAGGCTATGTTTATACCATTAGGTATAACATGCATTTTCATATTATTATATTTGAATTTCGATCTAATCTACCCTAAGGGAATTTCGAATATATTCATTTCCACATCGCCTATCATCTATGGGAATTTCACATGTGAAACAGCGGAAAACATTTCGAATCTAAATGTTTCTAAATATCATAAATGTTTAAGTTGGAGTATTGAAGATGACTTTTGGCCTGTCGAAGGATTACATCATATAGCACATAAAGGTCTATTGAATTCATCTTCACTTATTATCGAAGTTGGTGGAAATCGTGGACATGATACAGTTAAATTTATTGAACATTATGATCCATGGATAATCAGTTATGAACCACTAGTATCAAGGGCAAAAAGTTTAACTGAACAATTTAAAACGAATTCAAAAGTGAAAATTCATCCATATGGACTTGGTAGTTATGCAAGAAAGTTTTTAATTGACCCAAATGATTATAATAATGTTGGTACAAACTTTTTTCAAAAGCTGTCTTCTAAAAATTCATCACAAACTGTACAAGTTGAATTACTTGATATTGTTAAAGTTATTCAAGATATAAGACGAACTAAAACAAAAAATGGAATAATCGATATGCTTAGCTTAAACTGTAAAGGATGTGAATTTGAAATTCTACCAGCTTTAATATTAAATAATATGACACAATATTTTCGAACTATTCAATTTTCTACACATCTGGGTCTTATATTAGACGCATCAGTATCATGTATTTATTGTCAAATTGAAGTAGCTTTGGATAAAACACATGAAACTTTATATCATTATACTAAGATATGGGAAGGATGGGTACTGAAGAATAAAACAGAAAACTGAATATATTCGTATGTTAATTTCAATGATAATTTATGTAGACAAATATTTCATAAGTGAAATGATTGATACTATTAGTAAACTGAAAAAGAAAAAACTCAAATAATAAATATTATCAAACGAGGGTGTGTATGTGGTGTATCATAATTACATTCAAACCAACAGTCATAGCTCATAGCATCCATGATAATAGTGAATCGCATATGAACTATCTTCATAGTCGATATGGCACAATATAACAGCAACGCTCTTTTTGTAGTACACGCTCTTTTGGGCCTCTATCTATTTTTCTTTTTCGTTACGAACTCCTAAGACCCTAGATGAATTCATATTTCTTCTAAATGTAAAATTATCACTTTTTGTGCGATTCTGATGACGTGAAGTCTAAATTTGATTACATTAATCTTATTTTAAATTAACAAGAAAAAGGTTATATTCTTCTTTTATTTCATTAATCAAGTTACAAACCTTTAGACGAATAATGCATCGAACCTAATGTAATATTTTCTTATAATACATCGATGTCTCACATATTTGGAGCTTCAAATAGAATATATCGTGTTGAAATATGTTTAGTTCGTCTAATTTAGAACTAAACATCTTTAAAGACTGTGGCCAACATTATTCAGAGCTGTAAAAATCTGATATTCTCTTAATCAATTTCATCGTTGATTTGGTTTATCTAAGGTTGCTACAAATATTATTAGAATTACTATTCGAACAAATCATTTTTAAAATTCTTTTTATATAATTGAACTACTCAAATAATAAGTATCTTTTTCGTCAATTCTATCCTTTTGCTTCTTTATCGAACAAATTGTCGTTTTAATAAAAATTCTTTTTTTTTGTATAATTTTTGTAACAATTTTACTGTTTAATGTACTAAATGCTAAACATTTCTTCATAAAAACTTACAATTAATATGATTACCAATATTCTTATCACATCTAGATATTGCTAAACTAAAATTACATCGAGTTTTTTCTTTTTACCTGTATTTATTCTAAATGATATTCGTATGAGTCAGAGTCATTTTATATAATACTATGACTCATGTGTAGTCAATGTTGCACAATTTCTTTTACATTTTTAATATTAATTTTATGAAGCAATTTCAATGTAATCTTGCTCAAGAAAATGTATGAATAATATTGATTTTGTATATAATGACTAGCGATGTTATTATAGATACATATCGTACTCACATATTGGTATCGTGATTGTAGATCGAATTTTAGCAATGGCAGAAAATACACACGATGATAGCTTACGACAAGTAAAATCATGTGGATTTCTCTTAATGAAATCTGATCAGAGTTTTTTGTTGATGAGACATCGTGATCGTTATGATTTACCAAAAGGACACATGGAAATTGGAGAAACTGAACGTGAAACAGCTTTACGAGGTATGTAAATACATTCATACATATACTCATAAACTCTTTATGCTCTAAATTTAGAATTACAGGAAGAAACACGAATTCAATCATCAGCTATTGACATCGATCCTGATTTTCGTTTTGAAGACGTAATTGTTTATACCATTCGTATAGTATTAAATATGTCTAGATTTTATTGTATAATATATTTTAGACTTATTATCCTAAGTATAAACGTTTTGGCGGTGAAGTAGTCAAGAAAACACTCGTTATATTTCTAGCAAGATTAAAATCAGATTCAACAAAAGTTAGATATAATTTGTTTCTATATATATAATTCAACATAGCAAGTTTTCTTCTAGGTTATTCCAAGCGAGCATGGTAGTTTTCGTTGGTTAAATTGGAGTTCTCCACCATCTCGTATACAAAACAAAACAATTGATTCATTATTAGATAAAGTACATGCATATTTAGAAATATCACAATCTCAATAAAAATCAATGTTAATTGCTTTACTTTTAAAATCGTTTATTTCTGTGCATCCATATTTAATTATACTATTTGATATATGATCTTAATATTTGTTGCATTGTTTAGATCATAAATACATATGAGAAAAAGGAATTCATGGTGCTACTACATTAATGTTAAAGTAAATCGGTCATTGAACACTTACGAAAGACATAGTTAAGGTGAAAGAATAAATAAAGATAATTATCTTTTTTAATTATGATCAGTGGTAACGTTACTGACGAACAGGTAGTTAGATAATATAGATATATAATACATCGTAAAACCTTTTGCTCACTATGATTTTTAACAAGTCGTAACTTATCCTTTATGTTTTTCATAAATTATAAACGTTACAATGTGAATATAAAAAAGAAAATAAAGTTTCTAATAATATGTACATAGCCAGCCAAACATAAATTTTATTGTAACAAAAGATACACTTTCAAGTGAATCACAATACTCCTTGACATAAATATTTGCTGAAATAACTGTTTTATCAAGAAATCATACAGTTAATCGGTAAATTGTATTTTATGTGACAACTTTTATTTTGGATTAAAAAAACTGATATGTGAATATATTTAAAAATTGTACCGTAATTATTTGTGAGTACTTAGCTTTAGATGGGAAGTATTTGGGATATTTTTTTAGTTTAAGTATTCAATTGAAGAGTACTTTCAATATATTAGTAGTTAAAAAATAGTACTTCTTGATAATAATACTGTATATCTCTGTGGGTTGCTCATGAAACATAGAACAAATGATTTTATTATAAATAGATTATGACGAAACAAGAACTCTTAATGGATATGAGGGTCAAAAAAAA